CCATCCCAGCACAGGCTCTCACTGGAGAGCTGCCCTGGCCCTCTGCCCAGCGCTGGAGCCACGCTGCCGGACCGACGGCCCCTGGACTGGGCAGCTCAGGGGCATCAGCTCTGCTCTGCACAGGGCTGCAGCGAGGGTGCCACGCAGCCTAGGATCCACGTGCTTCAAGGTGAGGAGACAACAGACAGAGACTGACAAATCCTATAGCAAAATGAAAATCTTTAGGCTGAAAATACCTGTGCTATGTGGGCAGGGCCTCAGTCTTCAGTCCCTGGGGAGGTTGTGGATGGGTGAACTGCCTCATGTGGGCAAGGAGCTGAACGCTGCCGGTGCTGCCCAGTGGTCCCAGTGCAGGAGCACCCACCACTCCAGGGACAGGGCCCAGGGGAGAGGGATGGTGTTGAGAGGTGGGGCTGGAGGGGACCTCTGGAGATCATCTCATCCAACCCCCCCCTGCTCCAGCAGCTCACCCACAGCAGGGTGCCCAGGATCACATCCAGGAGGGTTTGGAATCTCTCCAGAGCAGGAGACTCCACAGCCTCTCTGAGCAGCCTGAGGGTTTTATTGCATTCTTAGCCAGACCAAGGCAGGAGCTCACAAGGACGGGTGGTGTGAGCAGGTGCGTGTGGCTGTTGAACCCTGTGAGGCCCAGAGGGCAGAGTGACCTCCACGTGTGAGGACGAGGCTGCTGGCGCCTGCGAGGCCACTACAAAACACCCCTTGTCAGCACCACGGCTGGGAGGGAACGGATCAAAGCAGAGCTGGGTTTAGAGTCATCTAATGCCCATTTTAAAAGCCTGCCACTGACTAGTGAAAAGGGGTTGGGGCATGAAGTCCTGTGGTGCTGTAGCACCCAGGTGGTAGCTGCGTGGGCCAGTGCTGGTTGCTTTCTGGATGTGGGCACATTAGAGCTGGCATTGGCAAAATCCCAGCACATCCTATGTTTTATATATATCCTGCTCAGCTACTTTTACCTTCCTAAGCGAAAATTCACCTGTAGAGCTGCTGCTGCCCAGGCAGGTGTCCCTCAGGCTGCAGCCACACCAGCCCTCCCCTTCCCTGGCAACACCAGCAGAATGCCACCCGGCCTGCCCAGCCTCATGTGGGCTCTTCCAGGAGCTGCCTCTCCCCAGAGGATACTGAGGAGGAGCATGGCTGAGAACAGCTCCTGCTGACATGGCTGGGAGCTCGGGCTCCAGCTCAGGATCAGACCTGTCACTCTGGGTGCATGTGCCCTACCCCGGGAGTCATTAGCCCACGAGACACATTATGCACAAGATGGCAGAGAATTTAACTCTAAAGGGTGTCAAAGTGTCTGAGTTACTTTGTTATTAAGGTAGTTTGGGGCTAATTAAACAGTCTGGCATGGACTGTCAGTTTTCACTTCATGGCTTGCTGTAGCCCAGAGCACCTGCACTCAGCCCCTCCCAGCCCCTTCCCCGTGTGTGAGCTCCGTGCCTGCGGTCAGCCCACGGGGCCTGGCTCTCGGGGTGCAGAGTGTGGCCCCACGGGTGGCACTGCCACCAGCAGCCTGGCACTCCCTGGAGCCTCCTCTGGACTCGCTGTGGGGCTGTGGGGCACAGCCTCTCATTGGGAAGCCCCTGTGGTCTGTGTTGCCTGGATACTGAGCACCAGGCTTTTGAAGGAGGTTTTATTTTCCTTCCCAGGGAGTGGAATTGTACTCGGCCCTCCCACCGCCCGGGCTCCTCTCTTTCGCCCTGAACATCCTCTGGCATGCTAATGCCAAGCCTTGGTACCTACTCCCACGTCTGCAGCGCTGGGGAGGTGTGCTGTGCACAGGTAAAACATGCCTGCCTGCTATTTACTGCCCTCGTTACTGCTCTGGCAGCTTTCCTCAGCCTGGCTAACCTCTGCTGCTGCCAGGACAGTGACAGTTTCTTCCTGCTCCTGAGTGTGCCCCATGCCTGTACCACAAACCAATGACCCACACTCAAGCAGACCCCACGCCCCTGCGCTAAGTGCATTAGCTTCTAGCTGCTGGGGGTTTGCTGGCTATTGTACAAAGCATAGTGTTTTTTTTCCTTAAAATGTTACTGCCTGAGGTCACATTATTCCACCAGTGCATCAGCGTTCATATAAAAAAAAATTACTCCTTCAAATTAAAATGGACTCAGCTGCAAGGTGAAGGTTGGAAATGGTCTGGCTGAACACCAAGCATGGGAAAGGAACTGCCCTGAAAGCCTGGGGACTGTTCAGCCACTGTCACCACGTGGCAAGGGGCTCAGGGGCGGCCCCACTGCCCCCAGCCCCTCGCTGCCCCAAAGGGGTCCTGGCTCCTGCTGCCTCACCAGTGCAGGAGTCAGACACTGCGGGCTGGGCTGGGCTGGGCTGAGCCGGGCAGACACAAACTGGCTGTGGCTAACCCCCCAGGCCCCCACCAGCAGCATGGCCACCTCCTGTCCACGGGCCTAGTCAAAGGGCCGTCCCTCTCCTGGCTGCCCTGCTCTGGGGACAGCCTCCAGCCAGGCCAGCTGTGGAGCTGGGGGCTCTGGTCTCCTCCGAGGAGGTCTGAGGGAAGTGGCTGGGGGGAACGGCG